TATGTCTTCAAAAATTAAAACAACACAAGGTCGATTATTATTGTCTTTTGTGGTAACTAAAATTTTTGAATAGATTACCTGCTAATGTCAGATTCTGTTACAACACATTTGTTGATCAAATCATCAATACAAAATCTATGCAAATAGTCTGTTTATGTACAAAAATTATATTTGATATTATAAGTTTGTATCTTGTAAGACATTGTTATTGAAGCCTATTTTGTTAGTATCGATTGTAAGGGTAGATTCCTTTTTTGTTTGTTTTCCAAAGGTTACTTGTACAAATTACATTGTTTAGTCGAATGCGTTAGGATCGGCTAGCATATATAATATTATCTAGCCCCTTTTACCAACCAATATTTTCTCTTCTTGTACATATAAATATCGTTGTATGAAATGCATGGTACTTATTTGCTGTTGGTAAATCAATCAATCAAACACAAAAATCTAATACAAATTCCAAACATTAACAGGATTGTAACTATAAAAGTGATGAACATGTATATTGAAAAAAATTAGCATTAACTCAAATCACATCAAATGAAATAAATTCAACATTTGAAAGTATCCAGAAGGAACCACAGGTGTTTGAAAGAACATATTTTGTTTACGATGATGAACAATGGGGCTTCGATGAGCTCATGTTGCTTTCTAAAGGAGCAATTCAGGAGGCACGTGGGAGTAGGAGGGCAACAACCGGCAAACGCAACATTCATCTTCATTTAACAAGTAAATGAGGGTAAATTCATCTTCATTTAACAGCTACATGAAGAAAAATTAATCTTCGTTAACAGCTAAATGAGGATGAATTAATCTTCGTTCACACAGTAAAATAAGGATAAATTAATCTTCGTTAACACAGTTAAATGAGGATAAATTCATCTTCGTTAACAGCTAAATGAGAATTAATTCATCTTCGTTCACAAAGTAAAATATGGAAAAAATAATTTTCGTTATCAATTCATCTTCGTTAACAGCTAAATGAGGATGAATTAATCTGGATTAACACAATTGATTGAGGTTAAATTAATCTTCATTAACAGCTAAAAGGAGGATAAATTAATTTTCGTTCATACAGTAAAATAAGGATAATTAATCTTCTTTAACACAATTGAATGAGGATAAATTCATCATTATCTAACAGCTATATGAGGATAAATTAATCCTCGTTTAGACAGTAAAATAAGGATAAATTAATGTTCGTTAACACAATTAAATGAGGATGAATTCATCTTTGCCAACCTTCGTTTAAAGCAGCTAAAAATGAGCCTAAATTCATCTTTGACAACACCGTATATTGAGGATAAATTTAATCTTGTTTAAGGTAATACTTCCCATTTGCAGGTCAAAAAAAAATGAAAGGTTAAATTCCAACGGCGTTCGAAAGGAAAATACTTATTAAGAACTTCCCTCAAAACGAAAGGGTTTGAAAATGGCTTTTGTGGGAAATAACAACCATTAATTGTCAGATCGACATAAGAGATTGCAACAACCTAAGTAATAGTCTGAAATTCAGACCCTTGTACCGCCATGGTCGGACGTTTAGTGCTGCTGAGGACTCTGGCATGTCTCCAAATGGAACTTGAAATGCTGCTGAGCTGTGCAATGAGGGTTATGAATAAGGAGAATTGAACATTGCATGCAAAAAACACATGTACCAACTTTTTACATTTTACAATACCAATTTTTAGGGGAATTGCCGTCTTATTTTGTTGAAGCTTCACGTCTTTCCTTTTCAATACACTCACAATACAAATTGCGTAAGCACCGTCGCACGCGCAGATCGGTCGATACCTCCATTCATTTCCCCATTGTCAATGATTGTCGTCTAAAGCTCGGACGATTATCAACCGAGCCATAAATAATAGGCCTAAGCCTTCGTGGTTTTACGTGGGTTTTCGACACATTTTGTAACTATATTCTGACCAACATTATGCCATGATCTACACTAAATGCCCTTTTTTTAAATGTGCAAATCAAATATAGGACTATTTGGGAAATGAATTTTGAGATGAACATTGTTTTATTCTCGAAAACAAAAATAAGATTTACTTTGAATGCTTTCGACTTCGTTTCTCATAATTTGAAATATTCATTTTGTTTTAGTTTTTGCCTCCCGCTTAATTTTGTTTATTTTTTCTCTATCTATATATTTCTTTGAACCCTATTTTGATATGAGGTTGCTGTATCAATAAAATATTTATTGAATTTTTGTACGCATATTTGATTTGTTTTGTTTCTAATGGACAGAGCTAAATCAATGACAGAGATTACAACAAAATCATAATTCATCACAATCATCTCTCTGTCTCTCTCTCTCTTTCTATTTATTTATCTATCTATCTCTGTCTGTCTATGTCTGTCTATCTGCCTCTCTGTCTCCCTCCTCCCCCTCCCTCTCTGAATACGTCAGGAATTTTGTGAAATTGGAATTGTGCTTCAGTGTGTTTTATTTCCGCATCGCGTTGTTTTTGTTTGTTGTTGAAAGGGTGTGGCTAATAAGGAGTAAATCGCCGTAGTCTTGGTAGTATTTTATTTATTCGAAAATAAATGATATTGAAAATATAGTAATTCATTATATGTTATGAAACAATAAAGAAAGAAGTGCAAACAACGTGAGAATTCAATTTATTTGTCTTCGTCTCCATCTGTGTTCTCGTTCAACATATCGTGTCAATAAAACTTTGACAATCCTCGTTTCATGATTAGTTCTGTAGATGGCATGGACATGTAAACCGGTACATGAAATGATGATGATGATGCTCACAATATTGTAATAAAATAGTAATGATAATACAAATTATTTTCTTCATCTTGCACTCGCTTTTCTTCATTGCCAGAAAACTTGATTTTATGTTGCCTTGCATTTTTTTCTTCAACAATGGTAGCATCTTTGCCCCGGAAAAGTCTCATATTCGTGGCTATACCGCCGAAGTTGCTCAAGACAAGAGTGATATGATAAGAGTAAGGGGTCGTTTTTCAGAACATAACAGTTCAACATTTCATATGCCCGCTCAAACTAAGACCGGCTTGATTTAGGTTGATCAAGATATTTTACTCATACCTGCTCTAAAATGGTTAAATGCCCTACACTGTTAGAACGGTGTTTAAAATATCACTGTTTAAAAGAATGTTGTTTAAAAAAGTAAACAACGTTGTTCAAAATCGAAAAATCAGTGCTCGATTGGCTTAAACAACTATCTATTAAAAAAAAAGATTTAATTAAACAGAGTTGTTTAAAAAGTCCCGGGGGCGTCGTTGATATTTTCTCGATACGCGATTGCAATTTGCGCACACACATGCGATATGCACAAAGTACGTACATAATACATGCATGCAAGCATGCATGCAGTGCTAGTGTGCAGTGCAGTGCAGACGAAAATGGCGGAACACGGGGCAAGGCGACGACTTGGTTCTTCTCGGCTTCGCCGATGGGGTTTACGTGAAGTTATAGAGACAAATAATAATGTTGTCTGTCACTGCCATGAATATGACGAACAAAATGTTGAAGTAAATTGGCAACAAGCTCTGCATGTTACAGTGTATGAATCGTTGTGATTATTGCAGGAGTGGTTCCAGTAGGTCATTTCACAAATTCAAACAACCAGACAATAACCATTAAACAATTCTGTTTAAAATTTAAGCAACTCCTTTTTACAACCCAGTTATGCAGTTATACTGAATAAACAACAGTTGCTTAGTAATTTAAACATTATTGTTTAAAATTTAAACAACTTGCTTTAAACAACCGAGTTGTGCAATTTTATTACTAAACAACTGTTGTTTAAAAGGTTTCCTAATTTTTAAACAACTAAGTGTTCAAAATGTAAACAACCTTAATTTGTTTAATTTTTAAACAACAGTTGAGCGATTCACCGGTTAACTCGGGATTGTTTAAAATTTTAAACAACTTGTTTAATTTTTTTCTAACAGTGTAGTAAAGGTATATAAGTTAGAGTGGTTGTTTGTATTGTCATGTAGATTGACCTATTGACCTACGTTTAGGCTTACATCCTTTTCTTTCAAAACGGTAAACTTCCAGACTAGTTACTTCTTTACAATGTTTTGTTCCTCTTAGGGTGGGGGATAAGCCTTTCGTAAAAGAGGTCCATACATGAATGATTCGCTAAATTGGTCAAGTTTATAAAATGAACAGCGTATTGTCATGTAAATACCCTACATCGATAAGGCTTAGATTTAAATAGTATATGATGAAAGGAATACCACACCGGTAGGGTAGATATATATAAATAAGTAATCAGGGTCGAAATCGAACTGATAATACGACCCGTTATACGAATATCTGAAAACGGGAAGTGTGCATACGGAACTTGGAAGTAGCGTCAAGCCAGAATCCTGGCAAGAATATAGAACGGACGCGCGCGTACGCGTCCGTCTTCAGCTGTACGGGTATTTCGGGCCTTTTTTCCATCCGAACACTAACTTAGAGTAAAGTTGAAATGATATCACTTTTTCTCGATTTTTTTCTACGTCACTATATTATTTTTTTAATAGATGAGATAAATGAATATATCTAAATAATAATTCAAAGAACTTTAGCACATAATAGCTAATACTAAGCTGGAAAACTTTGTCAACATATTAGGGATATATCTCGGCTTCTGTAGAAGCCCGTCGTCACAGACTTAACAACTCGCTCGGCTGCTGTAGAAGCCCGTCGTCTCCAAAGTGTTAAACGAACAATGGTCTAGTTTATGACAGTGTTAATGTAATTCGACCCTCTTAGTAACCTACAATTCGATTCAGTTTCGGTTTGTCAACGTTGATTACGTGTGAACGTCTGTTATATCTCGTTTTATTGTTCAATTAAAATTCATACCATCAAACTACAACTCGTTTTCTGATTGATTATTGTTATATGTGAGTATCGCCACTAAGCCGAGTACAATCCATGTGACACTCAGAATAGTCCAAAGATCATCGATACTAAAGGATACGTGCTTATTTACACAGTACTTCAATATCAAATATCATGATGTTAGGAAAGCACGGTAATATCATGAGGAAAACATTGTAGGTGTGAATTACGTTTAACATGGCGCTGTTTTCTGCAGCGGCAATAGGAGACGTCCAGAAGATACAATCATTAATCGACTTGGAGGACAAGTCCGAGGATTCTGATGGAGTTGATGTAAACTGCTCAGATGCATCTGGCAAGACACCCCTTCACATTGCTTCGGCAAACGGACATTTGCAAACGGTTAAATGCCTAACCAATCATGGAGCAAAGGTGAATGTAATCGATGCTAACCTACAGACATCGGTTCATTTATGTTCAAAGAAAGGCCATCTTCATGTGGTAGAGCTGTTAGTGAACGAAGGAGCAGATATTAAAATTGGCGACAAAGATGGGTTTACAGCTCTTCACATAGCATCATTCGAGGGTCATGTTGACATTGTCAAATACCTTGTTAGTAAAGGGGCAGAGCTGGAGAGACTTGCTAATGATTATTGGACACCTCTACACCTTGCATTAAATGGTGGCCATCTTGACCTTGCAGAGTACCTTTTGACAGAAGGAGCCAACATTAACACGTGTGGTGAGGGTGGATGTACAGCTCTACATGCTGCATCACAAACTGGTAATATTGATGGAGTGAAATATCTAACTAGTCAAGGAGCAGAGCAAGATAAGATCACTGAGGATGGTTGGACCGCGCTTAGTCTGGCTTCATTTAGGGGACACCTTGACATTGTCAAAGTTCTCGTTAACGAAGGGGTAGAGGTTGACAAAGCACTCAGGAACGGGATGACACCATTGTGTCTTGCAACAGAAAATGGCCATTTGGGTATTGTCGAAGTCTTACTGAACGTAGGAGCAAATATTGATGACTGTAACCGAGACGGGCTAACAGCACTCCACATTGCAGCGTCCAATGGACACATTGAAATAGTGCATCATCTCATTAGCAAAGGGGCACATCTTGACAAATGTGACAAAACCGAAAGGACACCCTTGTTTTGTGCTTCTCAAAAAGGCCATCTTGAAATCGTCGAGTATATCGTGAACAAAGGAGCAGGCATTGAAATTGGTAATAAAGATGGGTTTACAGCTCTTCACAGTGCATCCCTCAAGGGTCATCTTGATAATGTCAAATACCTCGTTAGTAAAGGGTCAGACTTGGGGAGACTTGCTAATGATTACTGGACACCTCTACATCTTGCTTTAGACGGTGGCCGTCTTGACATTGCAGAGTACCTTTTGACAGAAGGAGCCAACATTAACACGTGTGGTAAACGTGGATATACAGCTCTGCATACTGCATCACAAACTGGTAATATTGATGGAGTAAAATATCTAACCAGTCAAGGAGCAGAGCTGGATAGGAGCACTGACGATGGTTGGACCGCGCTTAGTTTGGCTTCATTCGGGGGACACCTTGATATTGTAAAAGTTTTCGTTAACGAAGGGGTGGAGGTTGACAAAGCACTCAAGAACGGGACATCACCCTTGTGTCTTGCAACAGAAAGAGGTCATCTGGGTATTGTCGAGGTCTTACTGAACGTAGGATCAAATATTGATAGCTGTAATCAAGATGGGGGTACAGCTCTTCACAACGCATCATTCAAGGGTCATCTTGATATTGTCAAATGCCTTCTTATGAAAGGGGCACAGCTTGACAAATTGGACAAAAACGACAGGACACCCTTGTCTTATGCATCTCAAGAAGGACATCTTGAAGTCGTCGAGTATATCGTGAACAAAGGAGCAGGCATTGAAATTGGTGATAAAGATGGGGTTACAGCTCTTCACATTGCATCATTCAAGGGTCATCTTGATATTGTCAAATACCTTGTTAGGAAAGGGGCACAGCTTGACATATGTGACAACAACTACAAGACACCCTTGTCTTATGCTTCTCAAGAAGGCCATCTTGAAGTCGTCGAGTATATCGTGAACAAAGGAGGAGGCAAGGAAATTGGTGATAAAGATGGGTTTACAGCTCTTCACATAGCATCACTTAAGGGTCATTTTGATATTGTAAAATACCTTGTTAGTAAAGGGGCAGACCTGTGGAGACATGCAAATGATGACTGGACACCTTCACGCCTTGCTTTTAATGGCGGCCATCTGGATATACATGACTTTCTTTTAAATAGAGAAGCAAGAAAGATCGTTAAGCCATTCATTGGGTTTGAAGAGGACCACTATGACTACCTTCGCAGTACGTTTGGTAGTGAGGCTTTCCCTGGCTTAATGCCCCAATACTCCCGAACATACGATCCATATCTTACCAGTCCACAAGACAGCTGTCGCTCCTCGAGGAAGAGTATCACAGAAGAGACGATGATTATAAGTCTCGACGAGTACAGCATCAAGGTTCCAATTTCACCAGACGATGTGGACAGAGCCAAATATATCACAGCAGAAGCATTGACAACCATTCCACCTGACTTAAAGCTGGACAAAGACGAAGTTAGCATCTCAGTTGGGCTCAAGCTATCCCCTCCTGGTCTTCAGTTTAAAACTCCGGTGGAAGTCACGGTCTCGCATAGCGCTATTTTCACCAACCCAGACAAGGCAGAAATTGTGCTATACACCAGAAGGACTGGTAAGATCTTCCTATTATCATAGATCCCATATCTCCATATAAATTCCTTTCTCTTGTTGTGACAGTGCAGAGAGCACCTGACTGCCACGACGACCCCATCACAATTATGACAGAGATCTTCACACAAAATGGATCCTTCCCTACTATTCTTGGTATCATATGACCTCACTTCAATGTTAATATTCATCCCAGAATTTTCTTATTCACTGAGTTTTACTTCATAAAATTCTATTAGAATAACAATTCACTTAAAGAAAAATTGTTTCAGTCTTTGTGTTTGAATAACTTATAAACCGCACAGTTTATATACAGCCGCTGTTTTCAGGATTTGTGTGGAAAGATCGAAGGGAATTATGAGAATGATTTAATGCATGAAACATTTTGTTAATAGCCAATCACCAAAAAGCAACTGACATTTTGTAATGTCATTGTTCATGAGTAAAACAATGACCCTCCAACAAGGCTCCCCAGAAAACCCGCAAAACTTGCAGAAAAATACTTGCTTTCTTTATTTGTGAAAGTAAATCCCAGAGTATGACAGTTCACTGCGTAACAAAATAAACACGGTCCCCCTTTTTGTTTTCTTGACAGAGTCTGATGAATTTGCAAGGATAGTTCCTGCTTCTGACAAAGCTGCTCGATGTGTAGTCGCAAAGAATCACCTTACTCTGTACTTAGACCATTTCTCGGAATGGTGGATTATCTCCTTAATCAGGAGATACTTCATCGGTAAACGGCTCATCTGTACGCCTTACGTTCCCCTGTCAACATACAGAGACGTGTTAAACCGCATCTATCTCGTCATTAAAGACGACTTCTGCGGCATGAAAGAGGTATATTTATCATAAATTAACGGTTCGGTATAATTTTAGCTGAAAAAGAATTTGAAGTCCATTTTAACATTTATTTAATTTAAATAAATTTTATTTGTGTCCCCGGTCTTCTAGTGGTTACGATGTCAATATTTTTGTGCGTAACGTTTTCTGAGTAGTTGGGTGCGTACACGGAGGGGTAGGGGGGAAGGAGGGGACGGGCCGGGGTGGTTACAAAAAAATATAAAACAAATCACAGATATAATATTCAAACCCGATAAACGTTTCACATCTTGAAGAGAATATTTAGTGTATTTGAGTACCTTCATTTGCTGTGGCATTATTGCAATTATTGCAACTATTATTACTATATTCTTATTACTATTATTGTCATTATTATTCTTTCAATATTGATTTATATGTGTTCAACCTTTTGTAGGATACCATACGAGACTACCAGGTAGCCTTTCTTGGTGAGCAGTACTGTGTATATTGGGGAAAAGGACCCCTTTCTGTCAGACATCTGGAAAACAAAGAGGAAGTGTCAAAAGAGGTAACAATCCCAACATAATTGTTACTGTTGTTTCCCCCGAAGTAAATTATCCTGACAAACAAATCGTCCGTTAACTATTCTGCAGGTCCTAATAATATATTGCTTACATTACCAAAGATATAGTCCTTTCTTAAAGCGATACCGAACTGATGAACTTTCTGCCTTAGCGTACTGTTCATTGCACAACACCATCTCATTATAATATAATTTCAGGAAACTCGATTTAAACATGGGTCATAACTCATGGTATAACTTTTAAATTACGAAAATGGTACCGTTCCCTATACTTTCGTATGGTATTAATTGATACTTATCTCTGATTTTCGTAGGAACTTGAAGAATGTGCTTTCTTTGACATGACGACCCATCGGATGCCGTTCAATCTTCAGTCACGTGAAAAAATAGTATACAGAGTTCTCGTCACTCTCATCTTGAAGCAAAAAATCACGAAGAAGATCACCTTCCCAGTACAGTACAACGGTAATATCAAGAGCATGAATTCCTTTCGGGGGAGGTGAGGGGGGGGGGGGTGGCTTGGCAGTGCTGGCAGAGAAAATAGTGTTCTTGTGCAGTTTCAGGAATGGTTATTTGCCTGACCTTCGGACAAGCTGTAACATATCTTCAGATTAAACCCAAACACAACACTCCAATAACATTATTTCTTTCATTTGAGATATTTTTTAATGACTTGTGTACTGAAAAAGACGTGAGTTTACACAAATTTTTTAACGCATTTTTATTGAAACTGGACAAAATGCTCCCCAAAACAAAAAATTAACTCTCTACCAGTTTTGTCGATCCTGGTACTATTTTTTCATGTGGAAAGATTCTACACCGCTAGTACCAGTGAATTTCACCCCTGATCATTGGAAGTATGCTAGTGCGTTTATACTGGTTCAGCCTGTAGGTATATATATATGTTTAATGTACAATTTGTTTAGTACGTGCAATGCTAAATATTTCATTTAGGGTAGCAAAAGAACCATGGAAAGTTATTCCTATTTCGAAAAAGTATCATTTTAGGCTAATCGCTTCTCATCACTTTGAGATCATGTATTCACATTTTAGATGTCCCCGACGAGAATCCAGTTACCCAATCAACTCCGAAAGGATCTGCATCTTCCAAAGGCAAAGCTGAACCAAATGATGTTGGACGGGGAACATCCAAATGTAAGGTTAAAAGAAAATGTATTAGTACTATTTTTTCCTTTTATTTGTTTTGTTTGTTTCATACACAAATTTCGATATGCAGGGCATCGTTTTACGAAAGCGTCATGAGTACAAATGGGAAATGTGTGTAGAAAAATTAACACGCTTTTCAATGGGATACCGGCGAGCTTGTTACATGAAACAATGTCCTTATTTTCAGACGATTTGAACAAAATCGAAATAATAATATGGTAAGGAGACACATAAAAGCTTTTAATCTTGCGATTTACTCTCATGATTGCGAGATGAATTGTATTTGTGCTATTCTGATTTGATTTTGATTGATTTTTGCTTTATCAGCATCTCAGCTCTCTGAAGAGCTGACAAGAAGCGAGCGTCATGATCTTGAAGCGATAGGTTCAACATCACCTGAGCCTGCAGGCACAAAGGGTAAGACTATGGCCTATCAGGAGCGGTTCTGGAGGAATACCTATGAATATCTTCTTTTTTTTGGGGGGGGGGGGGCAGGAGGGAGTAGCAGGAGGTGGGGTCTTCTAGCATTATGTGCTTTTGGGGGGGAAGGGGGGAGGGGCATTAGAACCGCTTCTGCGGCCCATATTCATATTAGTTTTTGTTTTAGATATTAATGTTCAATCAATGTATTTTTATACCGTATAACTTTTACTCTGTAAATTGAACCATTTTATCTTTTTGCTACATGTTCCATGATTTTATCTCAATCATTTCAATAACCCAACCTAATACAATATAATCCAAGGGCCGACTTGGGATAAATAACAGATGAGTCACAGTTTTTTACAGTACAGATTGAAGTCTGGTTTTAATCATTTCTTAAAGCCTTTTTTACGTTGCTTTATTTCAGATAGAAGTAGTCCTACTGAAGTCCTTACAATACCTAGGCCGTTGACTCCAACGGCGATAGAGTCACCGCCATGTGAACATGCCTACCAAGTCACACATGATTTGGTAACAGAGACAGAGACAGTTGGTAAGGAGCTGAAAGATAAAGTCGTGTTACGGGCTCTGTAACAGCACAAATGTCAATTGTACCTCCAACAAATTATAGCTTATCTCCTCTTATCAATCGTAACTTTAAGGTGACATTTGATGCTATGTTACATATATTAACGAACGAATTCCTTTTGCAAAACATTATTGTTTATAATTATGCTACACTCGATCCATGTGTAATAAGTGGGCAGGTTACCTGAAACGGTTGCTTGAACATAACCGGGGTAATAGAGTCCTTTACAAGCGCATATATATTGTGATAATACGCTTATTTCATTTACATGCTCTACGGAAATTTGAAAGATATAATTGAATTACATCATATCATCTTTTGTTCGTTTTGTTTTAAGCTTTGTCATCATCGACAGTGTCCGTCCATCCGGTAGAGTCTGCAGCAGAGAGGACAATGAGAGCCCCATCAGCATTTTTGGCAAACGTTGTCCAAGAATTGGTTCCAGGACTTTCAGCAGATCGGAATATGCATCAGCGTTCTGGGAACGTCTATATCAACGTCCAAGGGATGGTCATCAACAATCCCCAAGGGAATAATCCTCAAGGAAATACCGTTGACCATGCTCCTGTTGCAATTGCTTCCATAGTACCTCCTAGGCTGCAGCATGAGCTGCGTTGCCGGTTGAACAGAGAAAGCCCAGTTTTTGGTGACTGGAGGGGTCTTGCCGATCAGCTGGGACTTGGAGACTACATACAATCACTGGAGCAGAGCAAGAATCCGACTGAAGAACTACTCGTACTTGCTGAGAGTCAAAAGAAGATTCAGAACCTTGGGGACTTGGCCAAGGCGTTCGAACACATGAATCGTGGGGATTGTCAAGAGCTCTGCGAGAACTGTGCGTTTGAGAGAACAAAGTCAGCTGATCCTCGGAAGGATCAAATGGAAGATGATGACACAGATACCAGTGATTAGGGAACATACTCGATCTGTTCCATATCAACTTTTAACCCAGGGTCTATGGCTCATTGTTCCTCAATCTCACTTCTTCGTTCCTGTAAAAGCAAGCAATGTAATAATCTTGATGCAACGAAGCATATTACAAGAGTGGAAACATACATCAAATTTCATGTTTTTCCTTCTTTCCTGTGATTGAGATAACCTACTTCCCTGAAAGTAAGGTATAGAATGTAAAAATGATATTCTACTTGAGATGTTATGAAGTCGGATCAAGAACACAAATAAATACGAAGAAAACGAAAGAATTGTGAAATTTGATGTACAAAAGGCATGGAGAGTTGTCCACAAATGATGTCATCAAATTGAATATCGCCCTCTAGTGACTAGTCATTTCAAAAAGCTTTAACTTCCTTTTTCCTTGCCCGATTTTGTTCAAATTTTCACCGATTTTATTCAAATATCTTAAACTTAACAATAAAAGTAACTTAGTATGAAGGTTTTGGTTCCCTTTAAGTAAATTAGTGTATCAGGATGAAAGTTGGAGTACTTTGACAATATCCATTATCATATAAAAAGTGGATAAAACCACACAGGTGTGGGGAAGCAATATTAAGAAGCATATTATATTAAAAACATTATATTCGCAGAAAATGGAAGTTCGTACTTTTTTCATTTAGAGAGTGAAGAACTTATACAGCTCCACTACTTCATGTTTGATCTGTTTAATAAAAGTTTGCCTCATATTTTGATAGATTACTGTGATATTCTAGAGTATAGCTACTCCACAGGGCAAACAGAAGGTTAACAATTACGTCTGCCAAAATTTAGAACGACACATGGTCGATCTCCATTGTCTCTTGTGGTTAGTTACTTGATTACCTATTAATGTCGGATTATGTTACAACACATTTGTTGAACAAATCATGAATCGAAAATCAATGCAAATAGTCTGTATGTGTACAACAATTATATTTCGTATTTTGTAAGACATTATTAAAGTTATATATTTATATAGTATTGCTTGCAATAGTACATTAATTTCTTTGTTTATTTTCTGTTTTCTGAAAGTTACTTGTACAAAATACATTGTTGAGCTGTGCATAAGGCGTTAGGGTCGACTAGCACAATGCTATTATCCGCCCAATTTACCAACCAATATTTTCTCTTCTTGTACATATAAATATCGTTGTATGATATGAATGGTACTTATTTGCTTTTCGTAAATAAATCTATCAAATACAAAAATCTAATAAAAATAATAACCATTGACAGGATTGTAACCAAAAAAGTGATGTACATGTATATGGAAGTGAATTAACATCAACTGAAATCACATAAAAAGAAATGATTTCAACATTTGAAAGTATCTAGAAGGAACCACAGGTGTTTAATTGAATATTTTGTTTAAGATAATTAAAACAATTAGCTCCTGTGGCCAGGAGCAAGGCAAGACTTGCGATTTCATTGCCTTTCATATGCGAGTATCCTTTTTCCTAATGTCATTAAAAAACAAAATATATATATGAGAGAGACAAAATATTTAATGAAGACAACTAAGGAAGGAAGAAATCTGCCAAATTAAAGGGGATCCCTCATAAATTCAAACGTTTATTACAAAGGGGTTCGTCTTTTATGTTACCTTTATTCGACGTTTATTCTTCTTCATACTTATCAAACTGTTTATGTATAATTTATGTACATATATATATATATGTAAATAAATTATGTACATATATATATATATATATGTACATAAATTATACATAAACAGTTTGATAAGTATGAAGAAGAATAAATATATATATATACATATATATATAATTGCATTGGATTAATTGAATTTTTATGTATATCATAATGATATTCGTTATAGATCGGTATGATAGGCGCTCCTTTGTTATAAGTTCATTAATTTTGTGTGAAAGCAGAAAAATAAGAAACTCATGATTGCAAACGTTTGAATATATCGGTCAAATGATTAAGCAGTTATGAATGTTTGAAAAAAAATATTTCTAAATCTATTTGCGAATCTCAAATTGGCAATGGGGTCAATGAATTGTGATGTATTCGTGGACAATTCTTTCGTTTGTTGTGTACAAAAATATCAGTATTTTCTGTTTTTCTCCTTAGTCCCTTCTTCCATGGGGCACACCTACATACAATGTATTATGGATAGCATATATATTTTATATGATATGTGTTTTTATTTGTGTTGGAAATAAACTGAATCGAATTAAATTGAATATATTGTGAGAATCTCAGTTTGAAAAGAAATTACATATTTGCACACCCAATGACGTTAGAAAACCTGTCATTCAAAAAGGGCATTGACTGGAACACGGTCCTATACAGAGTGAGTCAGAAAAAATGTCCCACTTTTTAAAAGTTGTAATGTTTGAAGTATGAATATTTAGTTACCTGTAGTACCTGTAGTTACCTGTCTTCACGGGTCTAATTTAAGACGTAGTCCTATAATGCCCACCTTCTGTTATTCAAAATCCACTGCATGTGATATCGTGTCATAATTTGCAGATATCAATCCTAACACGGAATGCAGATAGCTTTGCTATCTGCTTAATACTTAAGTCTTACATGTAATTAATAATGCATACATGTTCTTAATAGTCATAGTCATTGTTGTACTTCGCTGAGAAAAATGCATCAAATTGACCTTTGAAGGCGTTGATCGATGCTGATTCTACTACCGTCTTGGGGAGCATGTTCCAGTGGTCAACTACTCTGTGCGTAAAGTTGTTCTTTCTGATGTTCAAGCGGGCATGTTGCTTCTAAATTTTCATACTATGGCCTCTTAGGTTTATGTTACTTCCTTCATAGAAAATTGACTATCTCTGCCCACGTCGTTGTGACCATTCATTATCTTGAATACATGGATCATGTCACCTCGAAGACGTCTGTAGGCTAATGTGGGCAGGTCAAGTCTCTCCAATCATTGGTTTCATGATATGTCCTCCTAGTACATTTAGGTACCATTTTCATTTGAATCTCTGCATGCATGACCGCACATCAGACGATCTTTACAAGACTGCCAGATCTCACTTGCGCCAAGTTACTGGGTGAGGAATAAAACAGTGCATTGAACAAAGACAGTCAGACAGACACACACACGCACAAACACACACACACACACACATGCATTAAAACACACGCACACACACACACACAGCACACACTGTGACAATTGTTTCATAATTTCCCCTTTTCTGATTAAGCAATGATTTTTCTCAAGATCGCTGAATGTTAAAGTGGCATAGCCCTGACAATATTTCCCTTTAGTACAAATTCACTACCACCATCATGTCATCATCATCATCATTGTCATCATCTTAATCTTCATCATCATCATCATCATGAAGCACAACATCCGCCAATACGCACCAAGAGGACTTCGGCCACTCAACTTTTCGTACGAGAAGAAGAATTCCCGACAAAAAGTAACGGTTTGGGTGGTCCTTGTCGGCCTGGCAGTCTGTGTTCAAAACACTATTCTATTCCTCACCTAGCTACTTGGCGCAAGTGAAATATGGCAGTCCTGTAAAGAATGTCTGATGTTCAGTCATGCATGCAGAGATTCAAATGAAAATGGTACCTAAATGTACTGGGAGGATAACTCTATCAAAAGATATTATGAAATCCGCGATTAAATATTCATACTTCAAACAATACAACTTTTAAAAAGTGGGACATTTTTTCTGACTCACTCTGTAGAGCTCTCAATGCTTCATCAGTCAAGGGTTTCATACACAAATAATTTTGGCAGAAAGAGAATAAATTGCTGAGATCATTACATGTATCATGCGTGTGTGTATTTGGCAACAAAGTGAACGCTCATCAGTATACGCTGTTAGAATTAAATTGCATGTAGGTAGCTGCTGGTTGTTTTTAGAGAATTACCCGATTTTAAGCAATGTTTACACAAAATCAGCGCCACGGGTTTGGACCATTCTAGGGGCAATTTACTTACAACGGATATATATGTCATACCATCAAGCAATACATGTCGGGGTGATATTCTGAAAACTTCTGACTTTCAGAATACTGAATTAGAAGTATGTTACGGGATTTTAACCCACAAATGAAGCTTCAGCAACGATTTTCTCGGATCCAGTACTCCAGTTTGTATATACAATCTGATATGGGCAGATTTAAATTACTTTGTACAGAAGTAAGAATATCTGTGGATGTTTGAGATGATTTGAACCATGTGCTAATTACGAACTGGTCTACACATTATTCTACACAGACCGATTTAATTGTTGATGTTTATGTGTGACCAACCCTTTCTTACCTTATATCTCAGTCATACCAATGCGACCGATACCATACTGACTACTCATCAAATTAAAATATCCCCTATTATATTAAACTCTACCCGTATTATCCAAATCTCTTTTTAAATTCATGCAAAAACTCTGGCCTTTGTGACCCTTTTTCCTCTTACTGGAGAATACGCATTTACAATATAGTATTAATGACTGCT